AAACTCGAGACACTGCACAGAACAGCGTACGTTTGGATTGAGGTCATCCTCATTGACTCGAGAGGACTCTGCCTGGCCCTCAGAGTGCTGAGGTGCAGCTGCAGCCTTTTCGGCCTTCTTGCGATCTTTCTCTCTCTGCTTTTCGCGACGCTTGAGCTCCCTGCGCGCCGGTATCTGTTGATGTATGACACAATCTGTGAGAATTATAGAACGCACTGCTTGGAGACCATTTCTCCTGTGACAAGATCCTTATGGGTTCCAGTACTCTCGGAAGCCATTTTTCTAAATTGTATAGGTCGTATAGGTTGGAATTGGGTATATCTAGAGAGGAGAGGACGTGGTTTGAGGCGAAACAGCCTCAGCATGCATGGACTCAAAAGTGCACGAGTCAGAAGATTGCAGGCTGCCTGAATTAAGCACTAATATTCGCACGCATTCAAACTGGTCCCTATTCCTTACCGATCCCTGGCAATAATAAGTCGGAGTTTAAATCCCTCCCTTCCATGCTCGACTCTGCGGAGGCGCCGGCACCGCACCTTGCCTCCGTACTCGTTCTCAGCGTACTCGCTCTCTAGACCCCCTCACATCCTAGACTCAATCTATATCCACAATGTCGACTGACAACGAGTACTCTGATCAGGATTACTACGATGAGGATGAGGATGTCCTTCTGGACGACGCCGAAGATGGTGAGCTCGTGTTCCACTCCGTTCAATGAGCGCGTGCTTATGAAGCTACAGAGTCGGCCTCGGAAATGGACATTGATGCCTTCGATGCGGACTACAAGCCATCCGGCAAAGGCAAACACAAGGTTTATGAGGTGGAATATGAGTCGCTCAGTCAGGGGGACATCGAGAAGATGATGAAGGACGATGTCAACAACATCAGTGGAATCTTCGGAGTTGACGTGAGCCGCGAACACCATACATCTAGCTGTAATGGTCGATTCATCACGTGTCGTAATGCAGGGCGATAGTGCTAGCTTACTTCTGAGACATTTCGAGTGGAACAAGGAGAAGCTCATCGAGAAGTTCATGGACAACGCCGCGACAGTGAACGCAGCTGCAGGTATATCCGCCCCCGAGAAGCCACAATCCGAGCCCTCGCAGCCTTCCGGCGTACGACGCTCCACCCGTCAGAGCTCAGCAGATAGGGTCAAGTCCTCAAGCAAGACGAAGACAATCATCGAGCGTATCAGTCCGCCAGTGGAAGAACCCTTCATCTGCCCCGTCTGCTGCGACGACACGCAAAAAGAATGCCTCCCCGCTCGTGTGCAACCACAAGTTCTGCACGAGTTGCTGGAATGCGTATATCACGAGCAAGATCAGGACCGAGGCCGAGCAGTGGATAACGTGCATGGCCGAGGACTGCAAGACTGTCGCGCCCAATAGCTTTGTCCAGACCAGTCTCCAGAGCGAAATGAAGACGTGGCAACGCTTCCAAGAGCTACTCGTGCGACACTTTGTATCTTGCAACCACAACCTCAAGTACTGCCCTTATCCGTCCTGCACGTACACCGTCTCCTGCCCGAGCGCGGCATCTAAGTCTTCGCTGACGCAGATTGTACCCGTTGTCGTCTGTGGTGCCTCCTCGACGCACAAGTTCTGTTTTGGCTGCAACATCGACGATGACCACCGACCGGTCGTGTGCGGCGTCGCGCGACTGTGGCTACAGAAGTGCCAAGACGATTCCGAGACCGCCAACTGGATCAAGAGCAACACTAAGGAATGCTCGAAGTGCCAGAGCACCATAGAAAAGAATGGAGGGTGCAAGTGCGTAGTCATCATGACTCACCGATCTCCGCTAACCCGTGCTGCGCAGCCACATGACGTGTAAGAAATGCAAGTATGAATTCTGTTGGGTTTGCATGGGTAGGTCCTTGTTATATGCGCTTAAGCTCCTCGCTGACGCCTGTCCAGGACCATGGTCCGAACACGGAACTGCATGGTACTCCTGCAATCGGTACGATGAGAAGGCCAGTGTCGACGCCCGCGATGCTCAGTCCAAGAGCCGTGCTTCGCTTGAGCGGTATCTTCATGTGCGTACACGCGTTTCTTCATTTCGAAATGTCTATTGACATCGGCGTAGTACTACAATCGTTGGGCCAACCACGAACAGTCGGCGAAGCTGTCCGTAGAGCTGCACGCGAAGACGGAGAAGAAGATGGAGGAGATGCAGATGAGTTCGGATCTCACTTGGATAGAAGTGCAGTTCATGAAGAAGGCGGTCGACGAGGTCTTCAAGTGCCGTATGACTCTCAAATGGACGTATGCTATGGCCTACTACCTCGAGAGCGGCAACCAGAAAGAGCTCTTCGAAGATAACCAGAGGTACGATCTGTCGTATGGGAAGTGTGCAAGCTGTACTCAGCGGTTTTGCAGGGACCTGGAACGGGCAGTTGAGGAGCTTTCCGAGCTCATCGAGCAGCCTCTTGACCCGGAAATCGTTCCGTCGTTGCGACAGAAAGTCACTGACAAGACTGTAAATTATACTACTTAATTTACCTGCAAACTTCGCTTATACCTTTCTCTTCTAGGTCTATGTTCAGAAGCGCAATGAAATTGTGCTCGAAGACACGGCGAAGGGTTTCCTGGAAGGCCGCTGGAGTTGGAACGCCCCCGTGGAGGGCTTTGATTGATCGTCCTCGCGCTACGTCTGCACCTGGATAATCCCCCATGGCGATGTGACTACGAACCCCACTGTATACTAATCTGCACCATCCACACTCATTGTACTCTCTACTCCACACAGCCCGATGTGTACGGCCTCCCTTGGTCTAACAAGCATAGTCGGAATATCACAAAATTTTTTGCCAAGCTTGCAGAGTTGGTGCGCGCGCGGCCGGAGGCCTGTCCACCATCAATCGCGCGGCGTGAGGAAAGATGGTGCTTACCCATGTCCTGGCCATTGTCGGCTCTGGTCCACAGTCCGCAAGTGAAGCCCGTCGTCTACATTTTCTGAAGCTCGTCTGGCGGAAGGTTTGGGGCAGAGCAGCTTCCGCAGCCTAAAGGTCCGTCACCGCGACGGACTTCCGCCAGCTTAGGACTGCCCATGGCCTACAGTCACAATCACACCATGCAGTGCTTGCCTGAGATATGATATATGAGTTGTCGCTGACTTTGAAGAGCTCTCACTGGGTCTTTAATAATCAATCATGAGCGCGTACCTAGCTTACCAGTAAGGCTTCATCATTTGCCCTTTCGCAACAACCCACGCGACCAGCTCAAGTGGTGTGCCCAGACC